TCTGAAGAAAGAACAAATGACCTAAAGAAAACATTTAGTATATGAATATGCATTTTCCATATTAATATTTATGTTAATAAATGATTATAAGATACATCTCTGTAGATTAAGGGAAAGATGATTACAAGAGCAGTTTTCTCAAATGTTTATGTCACTGTGATGCATACGTGCAGCTCAAAACTAAAAAAATCATTATACTGATACTCCCACAGAATTGCAAATCAATTGCAGTTGTAAGTCATGCATTAGACAAGCCTAAGTAGAAAATATACCTATTATATGAGGTGCATACAACGAACGTTTTACTTGTTTTATTGTCATTTTTAAATGGCTTTTGAGTGATAAAAACTATTATTTCATTTTATAGCTACAGTGTGGCATTAAGAAAAGTCAGGGTTCTGAATCTGTATGGATTCCAAAGAACATAACCTATTTATTGGAAAATATTCCAAGTTTTTCTAAAACTTTACAGGTAATATAACTTTTACTTCTTTATCAAAGTTACATGTAAGCAAAACTTTCTGAATATACAATTATGATACGAAATTTTCTCATATTCTATATAGAATAACATTTTCCAAGGTTTAATCCACTAAAAACTAAGTCAGTTAGTTGTAAATAGGTTTCCTAAGAAAGGCTGCCAGGACAATAGGAAATCGAGGGTTAACAAAATTAACTGGTTTCTTAAAATAGTATTTCTCAGAATCTTTAATATGCAAATGCAGTTTAAATCTTTAAAAAGGAGACATGGTATGCATTGCGCTGTATATATGTATGTGTGTACATATATCTCATATGTATACTATAGATACATCTGTATCTATATGTCTATATCTCTTTTTCTCTATATATTAGGGTTTCTCAACCATAGTTCTATTGACATTTTTGGGCTGGAAATTTTGTGTGTGTGTGTGTGTGTGTGAGGGGGCTGCCCTCTGCATTGTAGGATTTTTAGCATCATACCTGGTCTCTTCCCATCAGATACCAGGAGCACCTCACCTTGCCCCCAACCTCAACCTCACCCAGGTGTGATAAGCAAAAATATCTCCAGGCATTGCCAGATAGCCACATATCCCCTGGGGAACAAAACAGCCCTCAGTGGAGAATCACTGATTTTACATATATATATACACACACACACATATATATACACACACACACACACACATATAAATTTATATATGTATATTCATAAATATTACATATATTTACTTATCTGTACATATATATAAAGTAATATATGAAAAATTTACCTTCAATGTATTTGATACATCGGGGATCTCTTCCCACCCTATACTTCACTTTTAAGGTATCACTGTGTCGTTAACATTAAAAAGCTGCTTATTGCTATGCAACTCGCACAGAAGATCATCTCAAAATTGCATAAAAAATACACAAATCTACAATTCACTCCAAACTGGCACTGGCCTTTCTAAAGTATTAGCTAGAAATAAACATTTAGAGTTTAGACAGCAGAAGGGAGACTGATTGAGGTAAAACAATAGATGACCAGCTATCTACTCCTGTCTCAGGGATTACAAAAGCTCTTCAGAGATCTCTTGAGAGTTTTTCAGAGGATGGGAACAGTAGGAATTTAAAGTCAGCTTATCAGTCTATGAAGTGTGGCAACTCCTTTAAATTTTTTTTTACCTAGGTTCTAAGAAAGGGAGGCAGAGAAACTGACAGGGTCTTTAAGTAGCTGTTGTAGGCAGAATCTATTTTAAAAATTGTGGTTTTCCTAGCAAAGAAATAAATTTCTATTTACACTGAAAGGAGCACATGAAAATCACCACTCAAAGCCTAATTTTAATATTTGCAAGATAATGAACAAAACAGTAAAATGCTTCCCACCCCAGTCAGTCTCCCTCTACTTGGGTGACCTCATGACACACTCAATCTCAGCTGCATGTCTTATATTGGAGACAACAATTATAATAACAATAACAGAACATTTTCCTGGGTTACTGAGGGATATTGCAAAGATAATGTTTGCAAATTGCATGGCACAGATACCTGGTCCACCTAAGTGCTTGTTAAGCACTGACTGATTCTGTAATAATTTGTATTATCTTAGTTTGAAAGCACTAAGAACTGGAGTAGGCAAAGTTAAGCTTTAACAAGTGGTTTACAAAAGAATTGAAAGTATATTTTAACCAGTCTTGGAAGAGATCTTGTTTTCAGCCAACAGAAGAGATCAACTTGCTTAGCTTACCTTTCTTTGCAGGCTGGAAGAACTTGAAATAGCAATTAACAAACACATGGTGATTTTATCAATATAGTCATGGATTTTAAAAAAGAAAGTACAGTATAACATATCTACTTGAAAGCTTTTGATGACAATGTCTATTTTCACCTAGAAGTACAACCTGTTTTTCAGACATTTTTCTTCATTCCTCCTTAGTGTTATTTTAGATTTTGGGATCTGATAAGTTTTAGACTGGGTTCTATTCTATCATTACCCACGAACATGGCAAAAATTTTACATAATCAGTTTTGTTTCTTCCTGATTTTTAAAGGGGGAGACATCCACCACTGCAAATTTTAGAAGTACAGGAAAGTATCAAGAAGCACATGCAAAAGGAGCAGACTTAATTTTATCACCAGGAGTAATACTATAACACACTAACATTTGAGGCATCTCTGTATATAAAATTGTGTTAAGGAAGAGAACATTCTTATGTTTATATTTAATTTGTTTTACTCCTCTATTACTTTTTTTTGCTTCTCTTGGCATAAAAATACACAGAAATATGAAAAATGTATCATTTGTATAGAGAGACTAATACACCCTAAGAAGCACAGTACTTAAAATATAATTACTTACCATGCCAAGAGGAATGCATGTTCGAAAGCACTAAAATTATTCTAAAATAGGAAAAAGATGCACAAAAATTCCTAAAAGTGAGATCTATTTTACCTGTCAAGGGAACCAGGGATGAACAGTGCTTTTGTGCACCTAAAACAAAGCTGGTCAAAAGATTAAAACCTATATCTATGGGAAATATTGCAATATCAAAGAAACAGACTAAAATATTAAAGGGTTTCTGCAGTTTTGATGGCCAAATTCCATCCTATAAGCAGTGCATTAGACACTAATGACATACGATTTCTCACTGACAGATTTAACAGCATCAATAAGGCCTTTCTGTCCATTGCAGCAAATTGATCCTACATGACACTGACAAGGGCAGCCTGCACTTAATGACCTCCATCGCTGAAGGATGGAAATGAAAAATGACTGGAAGTACAAATAAATCTCTGAAAGTTTCCCTGAAACAGGTGTGCTAAAGTGATTCGTTGGAGGGTTCACCACCAACACAAACCTGGTCTCCTAGCATGCCCCACAGTCTGTTCCTACTGGGGTCTCACTCCTTGCTTGGATCTTGACTCGAGGTTTGCTTTAAGTCCAAAAAGGACATGAAGACAATTTTGTTCTTACTATGCAAATGCTATGCTAGACATCTGTCTTAAAGGCATGAGTTTTTCACTGTTTACACAGGTATCTAATATATTTATTTGCCACCAAAGGATTCTATACAAACTGATAACAAGTATACATAATTTTTTTTCTTTTCCTGCTGGTTAGAAAAATAAATACAGAATAGTGACTGATTTTCTCCCCAACACTTCCCAGCAACAAACAGAACATGTTTACCCCCAATAACAATGCCAAATGCATGAAGCGGTTAGACAAATGCTCCTTGGGTACACCCTGTCTTTGAATGCTGCACAATGGTTTGAGGACAGTCAAGTTTTGGTATAAAGAATCGTCATCTCTAATATTCCCCAAACATATTCAGTTATTGACCTACCTTCATCTTGCTACTGCTTCAATACAAAATTTTTAAGAGAAAAATATAGACTCTTTCTCCCAATATATTAGGAAGCATTAACTTGCATTAAGAGCTGATGGATGACAAGCGTAAGGGGCTTTATAAGCAACATGCCAGATGAATTTAACACTTACTTACATTTGCATAGAATCCCTTTATTGTCAAAGTAACTATGGGTGTATCTTTTTTATTCCTTATCAATTTTCTTCTGAGGTAAATCTTAATTTACAGATGAGAAAACTGAAGTTGGAAAAGATAAACTACCTGCCAAGGTCACTGAGCTAGTGTTGGTACAGCTTGTGCTCAAATCCTGGCTGTCTGTCTTCCCAATATCCCATGATAATGAGGGATGAATACTGTAGTGGAATTTTCAACTGCTAATTCATAGTGCAGGAATACGTGGGACAACAGTAAGACAAAGGATCCATCAGCAGTCTACTGGTTCTTAGGGCTAGATGAATTGTTAAAAAAAACCATGCCTCTAGTTTTTGAAGTTTAAACTCTGGGAAGAAACAAAGATTCAAAGAAAAAGAATTTTTCTTGTCCATGAGAGTCTGGAGAAGAATACAGAAGAAGTGGGTCCATCTTAACTCTCCAGTAATAAAGCCTTGTCTTTCCTTTATATTGTGGTATGTCGTATGTTTTACTTTTCCATTTTCAGTACCACAGAAGATTTTACAAAATATATTAGAATTCCCAGTGATTTCCAGGAACCAGAGAAGGTCAACTATCTCTCCAAGTTTCCAATTAAGCCTCATATTTTAAAGAGAATAGAAACCAAAATTTGAAGCACATACATCACGAGGACGGTTTAGAGATGTCTCATGAGAAGTTACCTACAGACAATTGAAATCTGAAGTCTGCAGTAAAGTACACAAATGTATGAACTACAAAAATTTGGTATTCCAGGACATAATCATTAAAAGCAAAGTAGTATAAAATGGTGGATTAGAAACTAAGTTTTTTATTTCCCGAGTCTCTTTTCAAAATCAAATTTCAAAAGGTTGATAAAATATACAACCAAACTCTACAAAAAAGAAAATATGTCATTTGGTGGCATATGAAGGACCGCCATCAGGTTGAAAACCCCATGACTGAGCACTTGTAACTTTTTACATTATGTATGTCAAGTAAATAGTTATATTTGAAAAAAAATAAAAAACTTACCTGGCTTTTATCTCTAATTGAAGCATCAAGTGATAACTGATTATCATACAGATGGAAAAAGTTGTCCTTTTCTGTTAAGAAAGTCATCTGTAATTTCTGATATTCTTGAGCTAAACGTAGGTTTTCTTTTAGTGAATCATCTTGTAGTCTCTAGAAGATAAATATATAGGTATATTTAATTTAAATCATTTTAATTTCTTTTTGAATTTTTATATCACTTGAATTATCTAAAAGTATATTATTTGTTACTAGTATTCTTTAGCTGTATCAAAGGTTAAATCTGCCTCTGTGTGCAGCCGAGAACTTTGTAACACCTTCATGACTACATAAGTATGTCACACCTAATACAACCACTTAGAACACGACTTTTGCAACATTACCCACTGGCAAACTGGGGAAAACCTATCATTTTTAATTAGATGTATGAATTCAGTTTAGCTGCTGATTCTTTTATATTTATAGCATAGAAATTTTCCTTGGCTCCTTCAAAAAAATATGGAATTTATCAACAGCCTTAAGTATTTTCAAACTTGTAATTCCTCCGATGGGAATTTATTCTAAGCAAAAAGCTTTATTCATTACAACATTATTTATAGTAGCAAAAAGTTTTCAAAACACTTAAATGCAGATTAATCATGATAATGATAATGATGATTAAATAACTAGATATAAAAATAACCACTGTGAAGCAATTAAAAAATGCGATTGCCATTACATCAAACCTTTAGTATAAGTTGTTAAAAACATATACTGTGGTATAAGAATGTGCACAGATGAAATGTAATTCAGCAGGAAATTGCCTGTACAAATATTTCTGTATTTACACACTTGAAGATTTATTGAGGTCAACAAACATATTTCTCTTGAAAGCCTGGTATCCATATTGATCTGCAATGATTAATACTATGTCACAGCTGTTCTTCAAAAAACCAAAATGATGAACTGAGAACCATATTAAATGTCCTTGTCCTAATTCTGGCACAATAATTTAATATTAAATTATTTTAAAAATTAAAATACTTACTACTTGCCTAAAATCACATAGCGTTATCTTTAAGTAGGTGGACAAAAAGCCTATGAATACTTTTATTTGGCTACTATAAACATTGAATTTGAGAGGAATGCTACGAAAGTGGTGGGATTTGCATTAACCTATTTAATGGAACTTAACTGAGGATATACTTGGTACTTCATCCTTTGCTCAACTGCATAATATGCAGCTTTACTTTCAAATAAATATACTTTCAGTTTCTGTATCACACCAATTTTTCTTGTTGTATATGCCATGATTAGAATAAATACCAAGAAACTAAATTGTGTAGTTATGCCAATGACTCTTCAAAACATTTTTATATCAGTCATGATATTTTACACAACCATTTCCCAGTAATAGATATACAGAAGGGTTTGCCCCCTCACTACCTATTCCTGACAGTCAGTGACCTTCAGTTATGCAATAAAGTTTGTTTTTTTAATTTTAAATAATGGTATTCTGCTGACACTAAAAGTGGTTTTTTATGTTTAATGGTGGTTCCACCTCACAACTCTGAAATGTTTTAATTTTAACTAATAGTATTATAACATGCAAATTAAACACAGGAATGATCATTATGTCCAAGAGAAATAATGCTGCCACTACTAGAATCGAACATCTTATAAAATAATAAAATAACAGTAGAAAGTAGAAGGTATTTAACAGAGCATAAAAGTTGGGGTTGGTGATATAATAAAAGAGTGAGAAGAAAGATGAAACTAGTAAGAGAAGATGATGACTTTCACGTGCTTTCCAATTCAAACCGAGCTGAATCCTATCTATAGAATCTTCCTACTTACTGTCTTGGCTAAATGAGAGCTTAAAAAACAATTTGTTTTTAAAACCATTAAGAAAAACTTTATTGCACTCTCTGTAGGTTAAAATAACTGCACTGTGGACTGATTTACAATATTATTTCATTCATCCATTCATTTTCATTCAGTTAGTTATTTATAACTTTTAATTTAGTAATTACTATATGACAAGTTCTGAGATCTAAATGTGAACCTCAAGAATTTGTGTTCTTGTAGGGAAGATTTATATTAAAAATCACACAAATATATAATTAGAAAGTAGAATTATAAATCTTTTGCATTTATTTATTTTCCGTATGTTTTAAATTCACCTGAAAGGTCTAACACTTTCACAAAGCCAGATTTATTGGTATTTATTCAATTCCCTTTATTAACAATTATGAAGATGAAACACTGGAAATGTGGCTTGATAAAGAGCAGAAACACAGAGAATAATCTGTTCAAGGTTTCCATGTTACCTAGAATTTATTTAAGAAATCCTTAGCTCGATGATGGTTTGCTCTCTATTATCTTAAATTATTTGTTAAGCTTTGATGTTTGGGGGCTACTGCAGCTTCTTATCTCAATATTTTAATAGTAAATAAAAATTATGTTTATAGAAATCCACTTAGTGCTATTTGCCAACTACACCCAAGGACAGATGAAGTTAAGAGAATAAACCTCGTTTTGGTACATCAGCATAAATCTGATGAATATCCTATTGAGATCCTTCCCCTAAATGCCCAGTCTTTAAACCCCTCAAAACAAAGGTCTGGCGAGCATGCATGCTCCTCCTGCCAGGGGCACACCTGAGCCTCCCCACCCCCTTTCTTCATTCACAGGCAAGCATCTCAAAACTCTAAGAGATACCACAAGGCTTGCAACCAGGGCAGCAATGGGCAGCAGCAGTTCATCCCAGACAACCCACTGGAACCCGTCCCCAAAGCCCCCTTTTCTCTGACTTCTCAGTGAGCCAAAGCAGAGCAGCCTATGCTCATTTCCCCAGCCCTTTGTTGTTTCATTGTCCCCAGCTTAAATAAATGTCCTCTAAAACTAATAAAAAAAAAAAAAGGCTTAACAAAATTTGTATTATAAGCTTCATGAGGGCTGAGACCATCATTTTATTCACCTCTAAGATATATTGCACAAAACAGAGCCGACATGGGTGCACAAAACAGGTTTCAGGAAATAAATGAATGAAAACAGAGTATCAATTACAAAATGCGTATATTTAGCACTTTAGAACTACACAGCTTATTTTCCCACTTCTATGAAATAACCTACTGACAATATAACCACCCACTATAATGAAGCACGTTTATATTATTTGATAATATACTACTTGAGAGGTGACGATCTTAAGTATATGAAGAGAATTCACACAATATGTTTTTGCACTGAACATTATTCTAAGGATACACCACCCTGTCTAGACCCTCACCAAGAGTTCTTTCTCTGGGTGCACTATTGACTTTCACAAGGTATGTGAAACCATTGAAACTACTCAGCATTTTTCTTGGGCTACCTAATTAGCCAGCCCATGATTCCCAATGTACTGAAAAACCATTGCCAAAGAAAGACCTGGCTTTCTCCTCTGTCACGAAAAGTGCTGAAAAATGGAGGCAGACTGAGACACCCTCCCGCCCCCGAAGGAATCCAAATAGTAGTTCTCCATTTTTTTTTTCACTTGACCTTATTATTTTCTTTTAATGTTTTATTTTATTTTATTGAATTTTTAGAGAGAGAGGAAGAGAGGAGAGAGAGAAACATCAATGTGAGAGAAACATCGATTGGCTGCCTCCTATATGCCCCTCCCTGTACGCCCCCTACCAGGGATCGAGCCCAAAACCTGGGCATGTGCCCTGGCCGGGAATCTAACCAGTGACCTCTTTGTGCATGGGACAACACTCAACCAACTGAGCCACACTGGCTGGGCAACCTTTCTTATTTTTTTAAACCTTTAATTTCATCTTGGACTTTTCTTCCATTTTCTCCATTTTCAGTTTATTTTTCTCATTTTCTCTTTCTCCTTTCCCTCTCCCACTGGGTCAGTGGGGAATAGGGAATTATAATCAGAGATTCTTTCAGACAAAATTATATAAACATATATCATCTATTTATGTTCCACTTCGTGATATATATACAAGAACTTAGAAATAAGGGTGAACTTGAATGCTGATGTACAAATTCCACACATCATGGAAAGAACTGGAACAATGGCAATTGTCTCAGTTATTAAATTATTATCCTCATTTTACAGAAAAGGAAAAGTAAGGTAAAGAGAAGTCAGGTGAGGCAAATTAGTTTCCAAAAATGGCCACAGAAATATTTTCATTCCCACATGTTCTTCTAGAACCTTGTCACTCCATATCGAGAAGCACAGTCTATTTCTCCTTCCCCTTGAACCTGGGTAGACTTGTGGCTTCTCTAGCCAATAGAATATGGTGGAAATGATTAATGAAGTGACTCCCCAGGCTAATTTATTTTAAAAGATAGTTTTTTAAAAAGCTAGTTTATTATAAAAAGCAAGCTTATTAAAAAAGCATATAACTCCTGCCTGGCCTTCTCTTTAGGGACATTCACCCTTCGAACCAGCCACCATGCTGTGAAGAATGCAGTCCACACAGATAGGTGCGCCAGCAAACAACCCTAGCTCAGGTCTCAGACAACAGTCAGCATCAGCTGTGAGTGAGTGAATGAGCTATCTAAAGATGATTCCAGTCCCTAGTCTCAGCGTTGTCCAGTGGATGGTTGAGAATGTGTGAGACGAGAGACAAGCTGGCCCTTCAGTGTCCTGTCCAAATTTTTGAAACATAGAAACATGAGCCATGAAGTTTTGGGGTATTTGTTATGTGACCATAGGAACCGAAACACCAGGTATATTGCGCAAGATTACACATATATTAAGTGGAGGACCTAGGCTTTGCATCTAGGCAGGCTGGCTCCAGATCCCATTCTCTTTACCATCTAGCATACTTCCTTCATAAATATGAGTCAGCACTCTTCAACACTATGCAATGCTATCTTTATAAAATATAATGACATCAAAGAAAATTAAAAATGGAACTGCCTTTTGACCCAGGGATCCCACCTCTTGGTATATATCCTAAGAATCCCGAAACACCAATCAGAAAGGATACCCTTATGTTTATAGAAGTGTTACTTACAATGGCCAAGATCTGGAAATAGCCCAAATGCCCATTAGCAGACTAGTGGATGAAAAAAGTGTGGTATATTTACACCACGGAATACTATGTGGCTGTGAAAAAGAAGGATCTCTTACCCTTTGAGACAGCATGGAGAGACCTGAAGACCACAATGCT